AAAATAACCCCAACGTCTCAAATTTGTGACCTGCATTTTTGGGCAACTTCCCTTATTCTTGTCCAGTTTCTAGGTGTTTATGCCATCTGAAATCTGTGCCACCACCACCATTCAACCCCTCATCATATTCTCTTCAAAACTCATATCACCCCGTCATTTGATCTAGGGATGTTCGGTTCTAGCTACCCTATATTGTTTTAAGGAACCGGAATCAGAACCGACGGTTCCTTGAAATTTGGAACCAGAACCGACGGTTTCGGTTCCTAGGTACCTAGAACCAGAACCTATAATAACGGTTTCGGTTCTGGTTTCGGTTCTGGTTCCGGTTCCGATTCCGTTTCCGGTTCTGGTTCTGGTTCTGGTTCTGGGTACTTTGTAAAATTCCAATGACCCCTAAAAGTTTTTAAAATGGCAAAAAAACCCTTAAAAACTTCCAAATACCCCCCCACCTGGCACTTGTTAACAAAAATAAAATTACAAATTATAAATTCAAAATTACAAATTCTATTACTTTGTAAAGGTAAATTCTCAAAAGTCAAACCAACTTACTTTAAATGTTATGAAATATAAATATAAATGTATTCACATTACTTTTTCTACAAAAGTTTTTATTAACCCCCTCTAATCTTTAATTTTATTTTATATTAGCCTCGGTTCCTGGTTCCGGTTCCTAACAATCGGAATCGGAATCGGAATCGGAATCGAAACCGAAACCGAAACCGAAACCGAAACCGTAACCGTAACTGTAACCGTACATAACGGTTCCAAAAATGTGGAACCGGAACCTACCTATTGATGGTCAGTTCTGGGTAAGAACCGGAACCAAACCTCGGGTACCCGCCAGTTGCAGTTCCAACCGGTTCTTTTGAACACCCCTAGTTTGATCACTCACAAGTTGCTGGAAAAGTCCACCGCGTTTTCGAGCAAATGACCACTTTGCAACCGTTTTTTTGGTTGTACTGGTGTGAACGTGCTGGTGCAGGTTGCTCGACTAGACATAGGCAGGCAGGTAGTTGGGGATTTTCAGCGAGCAGGTGGTAGGCAAGATTTTAGGCTCCAAAATATGGCTATCAGGATGTCAACAACAACCAAAAAACACACCATCGCAAACAATAACAAATAACGATGTAGAAGGTGTAAACAATTGGGCTAGTTGCTCACCGATTAGTCAGGATAAGACTNCAATGTAATACCATAGACTTTTTCATATTCAATAATTAAATTTCTATGAGGCATATGCAAGAGGAGCTGTTAGATGATGTTATATCCATCAAATGGGCTTATGCTATATGGAAGAACATTCATTTGTTAGCCTAACCTATTAGGGCTCGAAATTTTTTTTTTTTTTTTTTTTTTTTGGGAAGAAAACCATTCATGTACTTTTTCTAATTTAAAAACTGGTCCTCCTGAATCTAAAAATCACTTAAATAGAATGTTACAAATCTCTTAATAAGAAAATAGCGAATAAAGAAAAGAAGTGAAGGCCTAAGATGATCTTTATTGATTTTTCTAGTTTTAAAACAATTCGGAGGGCGTGTTTGATTGGTAAGAAAATAAAAGAAAGTATTGTGAGAAAGTGAAAGTGTTGTGTCTAAAAAATCAGGGTTGACGTAGACTCACGTCAACAAGAACCAATTAAAGTTCAAGAAGGCATTGTGTCGTCTAGGTGCTGCCACATTGTCCAAGGACAGAAAGAGTAAGGTTGTCATCAACTTGACAGATAAAGGTATGACTAGTGAGTAGTTGGGAGTCACTCACTTGCCCAAGCCTTGCGCAATTTAAGGATATTTACCGTGCAGTTAGCCAATGGGAAGCATGGTAGGAACTGTATGACACCTGCCAGTTGGTAGACTCGTAATCATTGCTCAGAAATCTCTTACTATAAATAGAGAGCTCCCCTCTCATAATCCATATTGGTTTTTCTGATAGTATAAACACTCTCTCTCCTTCACTGTATTTCTATCTCCCTTATCGCTACTTGCGACCTGATTGTAACCTTCTATTTATAAAAAGATAGTGGACGTATGATTCACTTTAAGCATCCGAACCACTTTAAAAATTATCTCTGGTTTATTTATTTTCATTTCCAGTTTACGTGTAATGTCTAAATTCGCTTAGCACTTTATACATGTGAATAGTTAGTGTCAAAATCAAGTATCAACGTAAAGAAATATAGAGTCAAAGGACAGCGAAATTTCTGCTGGAAATTGATCATCTGCAGATATTTCCAATGCCGCAGCAGGGTCCATATGGATTGATGGGGAACATAAATGGAATAGTTGATATGTAAATTAATAGGCAGGCAGATGATCGTGGTACAGATTTTCTTTGTCTTGGCAATGTACTAAAATGTCCACATTAATGCGCCCACATTCTGCTTTTGATTTCTTTATTTGCTAGCTAGACATCACGATATATCATTTCAAAGCCAAATCAAAATAGAGAACTGGTTCCATAAAACCAGGGTGGAGGTTGAGCTACGTTGAACATGTCTGTACATGCCTAATCAATAATTCATCAAAAAGAGAAAAAAAAACCAAAACATTTGATTCAATGTTTCACTTAACTGTGGCGGGATTGGATTTGGATTTGGATTTTAATGTGAAGTGCCTAGTAATGCCAAAACAGAAGTCTTTAAAATTAATGAGAAAGCTTGAAAATTTTGTACTTTTAACCCACCAATTAATCTGTCGTATTTCACAATGCTTTTCTGTAATCCATATGAAGTATTTCACGTTGAACTATACGTTGGTCTTGATGATTGGATTCTTGAATTTATATTTAATATCATACGCGTAAAATTACTGTCATCTTTTTGGATTTTGTTTTGTAGGAGGAACTGTGGGCAGCCATTTGTGTTCTTTGTTGCTCGGTGCTCAACGAGTTAAGGGTGTCTTCCTCTTGATCTTTGGCGTTTCTCTTTTAAATATTATGAAAAACTATGCATGGGTATGGCAGAATTAAGTGCATAAGTATCAGTTGTGTCCCGGTGCTTCTCCCTTTCTATATTGTGCATGTGCAACCATTTCATCCCCAATTCGCCACTCTCAAAAACTAGATATTGTCCCAGTAAAGGTTTCGGCAGGATCTAATTATATGTTGATTTTCAGTTAATAAGATTCGTGTGGATGAATATATTGAAGAACAAATCAAAAGACGTTTGAGGGTCGATATTTTGGTGAACCAGGCCAGTTGATCGAGGAGTTTACTCAAGATGATGTGCTGAAATTCAAGGTGGCAATATGCAGTGAAGGAGCCGGCGTGTATTAGTAAAGAAGAGAAGCAATTAAGGCTAAACCTAAAGGGATCGAGTTGCTGTTAGATCAGTAAATTAACCACTGGAAGTTAGGAAAGTTGTGTCATCAGTTTTGTTCGGTATCATCATCTTCTTCAACCAACTCCATGCTTTAGCAGAATTATTATTCTAATGTTTTACCCAGTTGGCTGATAATATATACTTGAATAAAGGTGATTGTGATGATAAAACTAATATGCATGCTATTTATCCACTTCAAATTAAGAACACAGTTTCCATATGGAAAAAGAATATTGAATGCAGCTCACCTTCAACCTTTAACGAAACAGAAACGACTCATTGCTTAGCCAGAAATTCTCAATACTCGCCAAAAACGATGTCCAGCAGAAACTAAACTAGGTAATAATTTTAGCTAATGGTCGTATACATATACAATATGCTTATATATATATATATATATATGTATGTATTATGAAAGCATTATGTAATCAGTTAACTTTTGCCTGCAAGCTGGGATGACTTTTAATTATATTTTTACATAGAATTAATGTATATGTATATCAGTTTAGCTCTACCAACTTCTTTCTCTGCAGGTTAATATTATACATAGCAGTTTATAGATACTTACATATGGCGAATCACTTCAACTATGATGTATTTGGAAACAACTTTGAATCTTAAAAATATTATTCATCATGTGTACAAAATAGAAATCCCAACTAAACCCACTTCAGAGAAAAGAACCTATCACCTAAAAGACTGATTGACCTTTTGTAATTTGCGCTATTTTAATCTAATCGGTCCCAGAATCCTTTTAACCTCACTAAACACACTACTACCAGCTAGCGGGGGTCCTGCTAGGAAGGAAAGGACTATCACCTATCTGATTAATCATCCATATAATATTAAAGGAATAAATTTTATTTGGTAAGGCAATGTGAAATGTTTTGGTTCTTGTCTCAGTAACTAGGGGAAGGGCTCCTTTTTTTGTGAATGTTGAAACGAACATATTGATAAGAGAGCTGGATGGCAATGGCATTTAATCTGTCCCGATTCTTGAGACTTATTAGATCAAACAAATATTCTTCTAGGAGTAGAAGAAGAAGAAGACTGTCACCTTGTACGGAGATGAATTATGGTAGGCCGTTATTTTCAAGGTTATCTTTTTTGTCTCCTATCCTGTGTCATTTTCATTAATTCTGGTGCATCTTGTCATGTGGGTGTGGCCAAAAACATATAACATTTCAACACTATTTCTTAATTTCTTCAAACTACTAATACAATACCATATACAAACCCTAATCTTAGATAACTCTTAACTCTTTCTCTTCCTTCGGGCATCTTCATGAAAATAACTCAAGTATATTTTGCATATATAGACATTACAATGAATGTCAATAAGGTCAAGATATATTCTGTTATGTTTTTTCCTGCAAACAGCAAAGAGTATTCTAGCTAGTTGGCTAAATGGTGGTCCCCTAATTCCCAAAATTGAGGGTTAAAGAAAACCCTAATCCTAGACAAATATACTTTAATTACCTCTGGTCAACATCTATTGATATATATAGATAGATGTGGACTATTAAAAAAAGAAAAAAAGAAAAAAGAAAAAAAAACCCTACACGACAGAGACTTCGTACAGTATTGTTCAGTGAGACTTGAGGCTTGAGCTATGGGGCCCCGTCCCCAAACAAGAAGAGTAAGTGTCTGTGTAATACAAAGATGGGACTCAAAAGTAGTCATGGAAGAAGAAGATGATGATCTTATAAAGAGAACTGTTAAACAGCTGTAGCCAATTTAATTCTACAGTAACATATGAAAAATCCTACAAATTCTCAGGTAAAAATTAAACATGAGATGTCTAACTGACCTTTTTATACACGTGTTTCATCTTCTTCCACATGACTGACTGCACAGCAAGAATGACCGGTGACGACCCCATTATCTCCCTAATTTTCTTCAGATAGAAATGAAGAACAAAAGGGATTTCAACACATTTAAGAATATCTCCATTCCACACCACATATAAGCTATCGAAACCGCTATTAGTGATCCCAGAAGTTTGCACCAACAAGCTAGCTGAGATGGATTAATTTTTTTGGCAACTGCCGCTGGCTAGTTAAATTTAGTAATGCTAAGATCCATAAATTCCATACAGAAAATAAATCACCGATATGGAAAACAAAAAAGCCCCTAATTTGTTCATTAAATTCATCGGTATAATCATAAACAAAACTAGAAATCACTTGGCCTAAAACTCATAGATTGGTTATTTGGTTGGTGATGATGATCAGTTCCATATGAAGATGGTTCCTCCTTTTGATCTTCAGTATTGCTATTACTCCCAGCACCTTTCTCCTGCTGATTATTTGGTCTATCTCCTTCTGATTCCCTATACTTATGCAAATACCTTTTTAATGGCCCCGCATACTCATCAAAACCTAGCGTTCCCATAGCCCAGCAAATATCATCTCCATTCACAGTCTTTCGCCTTTCTTTTTTGCACTTTTCCGAAGCTTCACTGGTGATAAAACTTATGAACTCTGAAACACATTCTTGCATCGTTTCTTTAGCTTCCTTTGAGATTTTCGCGTTTGGTGGCAAAATCAGCTTCATGATTCTCCCCACGTTTGCTATCGGCAACAACTGCTCTTGCTCCTTGAAACCTCCATCATCAGCACTCGAAGCACTTGCTCCAATATTATCTCCCATTTAAGATACAATGAACTGGGTCTGGTCTTGTCGCGAGTTTAGACTTTGCAGTTTGCGGTCAATGTCTCAACTACATAAAACTATATATAAATTGCATACATACATACATACATACATTCATACATATAATTAATCCCATGAGAGTCGTGAGTCGTGTCTTTATGTCCGACATGGCATGTGATGATGCCGACCAGGTCGGCTTCAATGGTGGGGTCACGGCTCACTGGAGCTCAGCTCAATCTATTGGGGCACTTATTATTAATTAAAACTATTACAAACTGTGATTGCGATTCTCTTCAAAAATTATTTAGTGTGTTGTGTGGATTAAGTCCTCGGTTCACACCCATGTTGGCAGCCACTCACCAGACCACAGTCATATACTTTAAATCGAAATTTGGCTTTAACCCTCATCTGCATCTGCATCTGCATGCAACAGTGGATGCTGAGAGGGTTTAATTAATTAAGATCGACCCTGATAATCAAAGATATGAATCATTGATATGTTTTTGGTACCCAATTCTGTCTTTAGACTCCACCAATCAGCTGAGGTTAAGCATGTTTAGTATAATGATAATAGTGGTGGGGGATTATACTAATTAACGAATCATGTTTTGGCGTGGATTCAACCAAAACTTTTACTTATCAAATTAAGAAAAGCTGATTATCATTACTTAAATACTAATTAATTGCGTATGTTTTACTCTAGATTACATCATTCAATACGACAGCAGATTGATTGTTTATTTGTTTTTGTTTTGTAGTTTTGTGGTATGGGTTTAAGGATAGAATCAAATTATCAACCCCATGGCTATAAGCTCAAATGTGTTGTATGTTTAGCCAGGAACTAAGGAATAAAGCCATGAAAGATTAAGCCTCCAAACCAACACGGTATTGTTTGATGATAAAAAAGCAAAAGAAAGTTTCATAAGCTCTTGAATTTAAGTCTCCTCAAATACTAATAAGAGTGGTCACTAAAGCTCTTATTTGATCGATAGTTTTCTAGTCTCGAGGGATTAATTGAGGTGCGTACAAATTAACTCAGACTAAACCTCCACGAAATAACTGTTTACCTGATAATTCATAGACATTTGGAAAATTAATTACATGATTCAACTCATTTTTTCGGATGACAATTAAGAAAGTTTTCCTTTTAATACTGATGGATCTTAATTTACTGTTTGACACATGCTTGCTCATGATCCTCTTATAATCTTTTTCTTCTTTTCACGTGGTAGCTGTTTTCTTCTCTCAAATAAAAAATTGCTGCATGAACCAAAACCTTAAGCCGCAAAAATACTATTCATTCTTCTCTTTATTTCTTTATTTCTTATGTGTTTTCCTTTGACATTTATGCTCGCTTTTGAGTTTTGATTACATCTATAATCCCTGCAAATTTAGAATCGCTTCTTCTGTTGTAATAACCAAACCCCACTTCTTGAATAAAGATGCGTGGATTTTGGGTAAGCCGAACCAATTCTCGAAATTAAGTACCATGGTCCACATTACCACTCCATTAAATTGCCACAAAAACCTGGCAGATTCATTCCTGAAAGATTTCTATTAAATTATTGAAGATATCTTTTTCTTTTGAAAATTGATTAAAGTGGTGCCACTTTATATATGTTGGAGAAGTACTTCTCTGATGATGTAAGAATAATATTATATATGGTTTTTGGTAGTATAAGTAACTTATTGAAATTCCCATGTTGCTTTTCGTACTGCTCAATGGACGGGCTGTTAGTTGAATAGTCTTGTTATGGCTGTAAAGTTGAGGCTGACGTGGACTATCGTCAGCAAGAGCCAATCAGGGTTCATAAATATTTTGTGCCATCAAGGCATTACCACGTTGGGCAGTAACAGAAGAGGTATGGTTCTTATCAGCGCAGTAGATGAATGTCAGGCTTGCGAGTGGTTAGGGATTATCCACCTACCCGAGCCCCACGTCATTTGAGGATATTTTTTGTGCAGATAACCAATAAAATGCAACGAAGGATTTGCACGGCACCTACCCACTTGAAGATTTGTAATCTTTACCTTGAATTCTTCCACTATAAATAAAGGACACCCCTCTCATTTACGAGATTGGCTAATCCTAGTCTAAAATAGAACACATTTTCTTTCTCTTTTTTTTTGTATTCTCTCTATATTGTAATTCAGCTCACCTCACGCGACCTAATTTTACTCATCTATTAATACAATAGCAGTGGACGTAGGATTCACTTTTGAGCATCTGAACCACTTTAAATATCACTTCTCATTCATTGTTTCATTTCATGTTTCCTTATCACATGTGATTTCTAAGTCCACTTAGTATTTTACACGTGTGAGTCATTGGTGTCAAAATCAAGCATCAACAAGTCTCTTTACAATTCAATTGATTTAATATTTTACACTTGGGAATCAATTATTATTATTAAGATCTTCTGCGTTTTGTAAGTTTCAGTTAGTGGGTATGAGTAGTTAAAAATATTTTCAGGCTTTTTTCGAACTTGTATCATCACAATTTCTTGAAGGGTTTGATATGAAGTGATGATGTTATTTTTTACGCAAAAGTTTGTAATAAACCGGTGGTTTAATGCTGGATTAATGTGAAAATAATAGGCAAATATAAAAATTTTAAAGTGCTTCGGATGCAAAGTACAAATCTTACATTCATTGTTGTTTTATTGTTTTTCTTGTGTGTTTTTCACGTGCAACGAGCTCAATTCTTAGTACAAGTGAGGCTGTCTTAATTAACAGCAGGAATAAGTGTATTGAAAAGATCTCTCTCTTAGAATGAGAGATCGGTTCATATATTGTTACATTGGTGGGCTTACTAATGAAATAATTCTAGCAGAGAGTAACACGCAACCTGGGATGGACTTACACATGCTCAGTCTTAAGACTTACCAATGAAGCAATCTTTGATAGACTAACAGATGAAGTAGCCCTCTCACAAAATGACATGCAGCCTGAGTGATAATACATCTTTAGAACAGGTGACGTGAATCCATGCGGTGTGAATTTACTGCATAACAAGAAGGAAAGTCTTCAATAATAAATTAATTATAATTTTGATTATTAAAAGAATTTATAAACATTTTTTTTTTTTAAAAAAAAGGCCATAAATAAAGTGATAAATCTGGCCGATATAAAAGAGTATTTATTTGATTTAATCTTAGAAGTGGTCTAAGTAGATATGCATGAGAGTTTAATAAGAGGGGATTGAATTAATTAACAGCAAGAAGAAGTTAAAGACAAACACGTGTTCATCGGTAAACCTGCAATTGCATAATTAAAAAAACATTACCAAAGTGGACTAATGATGATAATAAATCAATGCAGATCCACCTTCCTTCTTCATTTGACGCTTCTGAAATTCAAGAATTCCAACAACACCGCCTCCATTAAACTATTGCTCAGTGGGTTTGTTCATTTATTTTATATATTTTGTTCAGTTGTTTTCTTCTGCTTTCCTAAATTATTTTCAGGATTCCAGTGAAGAAAGAAGTCGACGGCCTGTAGGACAAAAGAAAATTTGAGTTGAAGCAACAGGATGATGAATAAACCAAATATACTTTTGAAAATTTTAAGAGAATCTTTTAGAATATCCAGTTGGGTCCTTTAATTGTTAATATAAAAAAGATTCCTCTTCTCCCCCCCACCTTTGTTTAATGAAAATTTGATCTGGATTCTGGAAATTAGGGTTTGTAATTGGAGTCGCATATTAATAAAGAAATTATAAAAGAGTCTGACAAACGAATCTCATAAATTTTATTTTACAAACCCAATTTGATAGCTAATGATGGGTTTTTGATAAATTTTTTTGTCGGATGAATTCAAGTTAAGTTAATTATCAAGTGTCATGTCGAGTTTATGAAAGAAAGTTTGTAAAATTAGTTTGTTAACATATCTTTATTGATTATAAAATGATTAAGATCAATAACCCAATTAACTGCTAATATATATATGTCCTTGCCTTTTATACCCAATTGCCCTAAATCCTATCCCACATCTTAATGGATATTCCTGGTTCATGATTCTTCGGAAAGAGACAACTAGACATGGCAATGGGGCAGGGGTGGGATCTCATTCATTGTACCCATCTCCACCCTCAAAATCACTCCCCATCCTTGTCCCATCCCTGTTATGGGGATGACAGGAATTCCCCTTCCCCACCTCATTAATTTTATATAAACATAAATTAATTTGAGCATTACCAAACACAATAGTTAGTTCTTGTTCACATGATAAACACTTAAATTAATCGCTTAAACATAGTTAATTCTCCTCCACATGACAAACACTTAAATTAATCATTTAAACATAATTAATTTTACATGAATATGGGTTAGAGTTTGTTCTTGTTCAATTGTTTAGGGTGATGAAAATTTGAAAAATATGAGTTTATATAGGTAAGATATATGTATATTTCTTTTTAATTTTATATATTATATACAGGACGAAGCATGGCAGGAGAAAGGCATCACCCACTCCCGCCCCATCCTTGGGGACGGGGATTAAAACGCCCCCAGCCACGCCCCTATCCCGGAAAAAATTGGGGCTTCCCCACCCCATATGTGTGGTGGGGGGTTGGGGATGTGTCCCTGGAATTTCGAGGAACATTGTCATGCCTCGAGACAACCACAATTCTGCATTACCACAATTTATTAATAATGATACTGTTGAATTCCTAAAGGATGGATTAGTTTAGATTTCTCAGATTAGTTTAAAACTCATATAATTAAATACATTTATTTCTTACTATATGATTATTGCTGATCATATAGTAATAGCGATTTACATGCAAGTAAATTGTAGATTAAGCTGATTTTTTAAATAACAAATTATTCAAGTTATAGGAAATCCATTTTTTTTTTTTTTTCTCCATATTTTATGTCATGGAAAACTTGGTTCCATAAACATCTCAAAATGATGCGCCATGAATCTCTGCATTTTCTCTTCATCAAGACCTATCAATGCGTTAATATTCTCCTTTCCGTTATCAGAAAGCAGAAGGACGAATTCTTCATTCCCACTCACCACTGGCCCTCCATGAACAGCCTTCCCGAACCCAAAATCAAGCTCACTAAAAGACAGTTTCCACCAAGCTGACACATAGAAGTTTCCATTACAGGTTCTCGGAATCCCTCTATAAACCTCCAACCAATCTATGGCCGATCTCACGTACTCGTCCGTCACTCTATCCCGGCCTTCTTTCATCTTTTCAACACAAAATGAAAACGGTTTCTCAGCCAGATCGGCTACTTTTGCAGTGGCAAATGCCGTAACGACACCGTTTCCTACAAAACCTTTTGGCAAAGGTGGTGATATTTTAGACCTTATGTCCACTGCAAAAAGAACCGATGAAAACTCATCTGGGTTTGTGTAAACCGCCTTTGTTCTTGCTCTCCATATGTGAGCTACAAGGACTTCAAAGGTTGAGCATGACTTGGTCATGGCTTTCTCTTTGAGGGCGTTGATCATTTGGGGAGTGAAAGAAACGAGTTTTTGAATGTATTTATCAGAGAATATTAATGGAGACGGGGATGCCTGATCCGGTGCAGTGAAACAAGAAGCCAGAGATGAACTAATCTCTTTCTGCGTTACATATTCGTTATGTATGAATTTGATTTGAGGTGGATCTCTTGCTTTTAAGCACGTTCGATCATTAAATAAAACTTGAGTTTGAAGGCCTTCACCTCTACAAATAGAGGCAAGATTCTCAAACATCTCACTTGCTGATCTTCCATCAAGTATCGCATGGTTTGTCACAAACCCAATTGAGAAGTCTCCACATGCAAACATGGTGACCTGCAAATGAATTAAATTATCAAAAATCAAAATCTTGCTTAAATGAGACCAATATTTAGTATTGGAAGAATAAACAGTGATTGCCTGGATAGTGAAAAGTGCTGTCTCTGCGAGACTTTTGTCTAGGCCAGGCCGATGAACAAAGTGGTGAAATGTAGTAGAATTTGGAACAGAAAGATCTCCAAGATCCTTTGACATAAGTTTTGATTTTGCAGCCACAAACAAGACTCCAGCGTTGTTGCATAGAATCTCTAACCTACTAGTTTCAAGGTTCATGTGAAGTCTTCCAGCCATGAAATAGTAAGGAACAAGAAGCACTTCAGCCACTGATTCCTTCACTCTTTCAACAATTTCGTGTGTTGATGAGGTCTTGTTTGGAGGAGAGTGAAAAAAGAAGAGTTTTTCAACAGGAAAAGTCACAGCTTGGTCAATGTTTGATAAGAAAATAGTCTGTATAGGATTTGGATTCTTGGGAGAAACCAAAACTACTGGTTCTTCCTTAGCCAAGTCTAGTTCATTCATGGGATCACTACTAGTAATTTCCATGGTGAAATAATGATGTAATGTAATTAGCATAGCATGGTTTTATTCGTATATATATACTAATTAAGGTGGATTAATTTTCTAAGAACTAGGAGTAGAGATTCTTGGTGAGAAAGGAATGGAGAATGGGGTGAATCCTAATTGATAGGCCAAGGAAGTTTTGTGCTTTGATAAAATAAGTAGAATTTCACCGTCTATGATTCCTAAAATGAAGGCATGGTAACTTCATTTTCTTGCTTTGATAACCTCTGTATTACGTTTGATGCATCAAAGAAGCTGCTTTGGGGGAAACAAAGAAAGGGAAAGTTCAACATTTTTGGCAAAAATTTTCACCGTGTTAAAGGGAGAGGGCCAATGTTTTTGCAATATGTCTAACAATACTTAATGCGTAGAAAAGATGAGGGTCAACTTAGGCTCCGTTTGGTTTATTATTCTGATACTTTTTTGAATAATAGTTTGAAAAAACTAAAAGTGAATGGGTATTATGATGTAAGATTTGAAAATTAACAAAAATACCCTATATGTTTGTTTATTTACTAAACACCCCTATAATAAAATATTAAAAATTAATAAAAACACCCTCAACCCACCCATTAAATACGAACAGCCAGCCACCACTGCCGGAGGGTGACCGGAGTCGCTGTATCGATGCACGATCGGTTTAATCTAACCGGTCATGAGACGATATGACCTTTTTCTGTCAGATCTGGCCGCATTTAATCATCAAAAGCGGTTAAAGATACGGCCGTCGTTGACAATTGCCTACAGCCAAAGATCTGGCTGTTGACGGCTAGATCTTTGGTCATAGATCTGATCTTTTTCGATGCACTATCGGCCAAATTCAACCAGTAGTGAGCTATTATACTAGATTCCGGCTAGCTTCTGGCGGTGGTGGCCGAAATCTGGTAAATGTGGGTTGCTGGAGTGTTTTTGTCAATTTTTAAATTTTCCTTTTTTAGTGTTTAGTTAAATTAACAAATTTAAAGGGTTTAAAAGAAATTGAATAATATAAAATAATATTTTGAGAACAAGAAAAGTAAAGGCCAATTTTCTGTTTAACTTTATTAGAAAAATCAGAATAGTATTTTAAAGAGTGTACCAAAGAGAGCCTTATTAGAATCTAGAATTCATATTCACTGAATTTTTACATATTGATGGGGAACAAGAGCTACTGGATTTGGCCCGTCTAGTCATTGGGCTTCTAGTGTTGATCAAACATTAGACCAGGTTGGGATTTTTATCAAATTATCCATAACTGAGTAATCTATGACAACAAAATTCCTCCAAATGGCACCAAATAACAGAAAACTACGAGAGACTTTGACGATCTTTTTTCTGTATTATACACATGCCAAAGAGGAGAATAAGAGAAAGAGTGACAGAAGATTCACCACACAGAGTTTCACCTTCTTCTTCTTCTTCTTCTTCTTCTTCGTTATTGTTTAGTATATAAGTATGAAATATCATTCCAATCCAATGAGATGAATTATATGGTATTTAAATATGATATAGATGAAATTAATATTGAAATATTTTAATTACAGAATACTATATATGTATATTTATATACATTCTATTGTGATTGAACATATATCTAGCAAGGTTCTAAAAACCAGACTGAGCCTTGACCAGTCCGACAGGTCGGTGAGATCGATGATGTCAATGACAAAAATATTTTTTTAAAACTATAATTAGTCATTAAAATTTTAATAACATTGTAAAATACACTTAAAAATTTTGAAATATTGAAAAACACCCTTATAAAATTATAATTAGTCTTTACAGGTTTAAAATCTAACAAAAAACCCCCTAGAAGCTAAACTGGGTGGGAGAAACTGTCAGTTCCCAGTCAGATCGGTCCGGGTTTCAGGACATTGTTTATGTAGTAAGATAAGAACCATCTTCTTGAATTAAGATGGGTAATATTAGGAAGGGATTGCGTAATAGTGCATGCAATAAGCAATGGAGACCAGAAAAGTAAGAGAGAGTGGATGGGGAGGGTGGCGGGGCGCGGAGTCAAAAGAATTCCGCGGTTTCAAGGCTTGAGATTTCTATATTCTAAGTCGTCTTCTTGAGATTTCTATATTCTAAGTCGTCTTAGTAAACTGTTTTTTATTTAATCTATGGGCAAACCGACTCTATTAAAACACTTTTCTTTACCATAATCAGCCATTTATTAATTCAGATATATTCTTCTTTGATTAATTAATTTCTCTAATTATCATGGTAAACTAAATTAATTACAATCTAGATCTCGGTGTGGGAACATGTGGCCACGTGTATTTTATAAAATAAATATTGAAGTTTCTTTAATCCTAACAGGTACATTTATCTCACACTATTCTAGAAACATGCGCTTTTTTATTTTTTTAAATTATTGTCAATTTATTTTATTTTAAAATTTTGGATTCAAAACTATAACTCCCGTCAAATGTAAATCATATTATATAATATAAGCACAGAGATTCTTACAACTGTCACTTTATTATAATATTTTAACAATGTCAAAATTGTATCATAATCCTACCACATTTTTATCAAAATTAATTACACTTTATGAAAAAATTATACATGTTTGAGGATAGATTCCCTGCAACAGATGCAGATACTCGTTTAGTGCTCTAATCCACTGGCAGATGGCCACGTTTTCAGTGTCGGTGAATGCGCGAATATGATGATGATGATGAGATGATGAGTTATGAGAAATTCAAGTCAATTAATGGGATATTTGAAAATTAAAAAAAAAAAAAAGAAAAAAAAAAGAATTATAGTCATCATAAGACACGTAATTGCACGGACCAAACTGGCGCAGCCACCTCATTCGACTCAGCCATTCAAAACAAAATCCAACCGTCCATTTTTCATACAAAAAAAAATTAAAGTTTAGGGAATTTAATTAGTCAATTCTAAGTTTAATTACAATTTACAAGATCCTTTCTTGCTGAGTTAACCAAAGTTGAAAACCCCTTTCAACCCTTTTTAAAACTTCACGTGCTTTACAATTTCTATTAAGGTCTTTCTTAATCAATAGATTTTTATTTATTCTAATGCATTAATTATTTTAAATTATTAATTTAGTAGCATTACAAAACAAAATAATAATAAATAATAAAAAAAACTAATCCGTAAAGGATAATTTCATCATTTAAATGAATAAAACCGCTCAAAACGAAACTGTTATCCCCATGGGCACATGCAGTTGAAACTAAGCTCCTTATTAGCTTCTCCAAATAATCTCCTGCAACTATCATCCACTATATCATATCCTACAGCCCATGATGGCATGATCTATACAACCTTCTCTTCTGCACACATACGTGGCAGTAAACTATTGGATTATATCCATCTGTTAATTTATATTATAAGCTCTTACTTATTTCAGAAAAATACAAATTATACGTACAATTTCTTTTCATAAAGTAATAATTTAGTTTTTTATATTATTAAACAAAGAAGATAATAAGATATACAAAAAATATATATATATATATAAAAGATAATAAAAAATTAATTTAATAATTTTTGATAAATATAAATTAGAGTGAAGTAGAGGTTATTTTAATAGGTAGGAAGTCGTCGAGGTCTACAGCACTTATTATTAGGAATCTTGACGAACCCCCACGCGTTCCATGTTTTACAACTACACGCTCCAGTGAAGCGCGCGTGGAGACGTCAAATTTTCATCCTTGTAAAAACGTACAAGAGGGTCCCTACAAACAACAACAACAACAAAACAGAAAAATAAATACAAATTAAAATAAATAAAATTTTGCATAATCTGGCTTCGCTACTAGTCGCTGCTTTAAATACAGAAAGAGTCTTCTTTAGTTTTTCATTTTCTTCCAATTTCTATCATTTTCTCTTCTCGCCATGAAACCTTAACCTCTGTCTCTCTTCACAGCCAGGTACTCCCTCTCTCTCTTTCTCTATTTTTATTTTTATTTTTATGTTCTGTTTATATATATATAGACATATATTTTACATAAAAGTATAAACATATAAGTATTTATAAGTTTGTGTGAGTTTCTCTTTCTTTAACCGTGAACAAGTTCACGTTTTGTTTGTTTTTAATCTGTAAGTTGCTGTTAATCGGTGCGTAACAACGATTACCCATTTCCTCAGGTTGCTTCTTTAGCTTAGTTTTTGACGTGTTTGCTTTGTGTATATTAGTATTAATATTATTTATTAATATTTAATATTAATATTATTATTTTCTTCTACATGGGAGCTTAATACTTGTAGTAAAATTTTCTTTTCTTTTCTCTGTATTGTATTGTGCTTTGCTTCTTCTACGATTTAATGTTCTTGTTCTTGTCTTCTATCTTTGTATGCTTCTTTTTATCATCTTGAAACCTTAAATTTCTGGGGATCATATTAGAATTCTCATTGTAAACTGCGTTTCTTGCTTTATGTTTATTATTTATTTGTTTGTTTGTTTGTTTGGGTGGAGTGTTCAGCTCTGAGAGTTCTTTGTTTGATATGGCCATAAATGTGCTTAGTGGGTACTTATATTTTTTTATCTAAATTTTAGTTTTTACAGTTACGCGATTGCTTTCGTGGTTCATTTCGGGTTCAAAAATGGATCTGGGCTTGTTTTGTTTTATTTTAGTTTGTGACTGCTGCTCTATTATTGCGGTTGTGGATATTTATATGCTGGTTTATCTCGAGTAATATCTGTTAATATATATTTATATATGCAAAGTTTGCTTTTACATTCTAAATTTCTTTTTGGTTTTTATTTTTTTTATTTTTTATCCTTTGAATTATTACTATTTCATATTCTGGATTTTGATAAATAGTTTAATAAAAATTGTATATGTTTCATGGAAAGGTCGGAAGTGGAACTTGGAAATTTGGTTTATCAGGTTAATATCTTGAGTATTTTGACAGTTGAAAGAAATACACTGTTTCTGATAGCTCATAAGCTTCTGGACCTTGCCATTCCTTTTTAATTTAATTTTTTTATTTTATTATCTGTATAAATTCGTAGACTTGTATTAGATATTTTGTACAAGTATGAGAATGCTATTATTCTTGCTATCGTATCACTACAGAAACATTAACAATGTAAGACCACTAGATTCAAAGGGCATGAGTTATTTAATCTTGAAAAATAACATGGTTATTCTGTTCTCTGCTGACAGATAAGAGTGCTTTCTTCTCCTTTTTGTTGTTGTTGAAGGCATAATAAACTTGGATTATTCATATTTTGTTGCAGATGGATGTAATGCAAGAAAATAATTGTGGGGCTGTCCTTGAAGATACATCCACCGATAAATTACTTTCTCCAGAATCTACTGATGTATGTGATGAATATAGAGATCCAGAGTTGTTTCCTCGAGTTGGAGATGAGTATCAGGTCGAAATACCATCTCTAGTAGCAGAATCTGACTGCCTCTTGGACACAAACAACCCAGCTGACATTCCCCATACATTGCTTATGGGATTGCCGATACCAGTAGCCTGGATCAATGAACCACTGGAAGCTCATGGTCATTCAGTTGATACATCAGGATGCACCAAAGAGACCCAAAATTTTTCTGGAAGGCGCAATTTGAAACCAAAAGTTGAGCCTAAGGATATTGCATTGGACAGAGGGATTGAAATGGATCAGAAGCGTAGTGGCAAAGGTTATGGTTTGGTTCCTGGTTCTGCACATGACACATGGAGTGATATCGATAAAGCCAGTTTTGTCCTTGGTTTATACATCTTTGGGAAGAATCTTGTTCAGGTGAAGAAATTTGTTGGTAGTAAAAGGATGGGGGAAATACTGTCATTCTACTATGGAACATTCTATAGGTCTGAGAAATACCGTAAGTGGTCAGAGTGCCGGAAAATGAAAAGCAAAAGGTGTGTATATGGACAAAGAATTTTTACAGGAATGAGGCAACAGGAATTACTATCTCGTTTACAACCCAATGTGTCAGAGGAATGCCAAAATACTCTATTGGAGGTACTTTATCAACTGTCTCCACATGTTGCTATCATCTTAAATGTGTCAAATGAGTGTGGACTGATCATATAAAATTCATTTTCCTTGCATGCAAAAGAAAAAAACACATAACTATCGAGAACTTATTGTATGTTTTTTGTGTGCTTGTTTAGGAACTAAGAGTGGTTTGTTTGTCCTTTTTAACTTCTTTTTTTTTTTTTTTTTTTCATGTTCAGTGCCTTTCTTTTAAGTGCAAGATTACAGTTATTAAAACAGAACAGAATAATCCTATGTTTTGGTCCTAACAAATGATTAGGTCATCCCTAGATCAGATTGGAGTTTTTAGCATATTGTTATATTTTTCTTGTGAATTTCTTGTACTGTCTTTTATTTAGTTTCTGCTTTACAGCAATTTCTGTATTATGTTTACCCTCACAAACAGTCTAGTCATCTGATGAAGATTGTGTTTTACTATTAAATTGAAATTTTTTTCCATTTATAGGATTGCAAGGCTCTTGGAGAGGGAAAATTTTCTTTGGAAGAATATGTTTTCACTTTAAGGGCTAAAGTTGGGTTGACTGCTCTTGTGGAGGCAGTTGGAATTGGTAAGGTGAAACAAGATCTCACAGGCATGGCCATGGAGCCTTTGAAGTCTAATCAAGTTGGTACTGGCCGTCCAGAGATACCTGTTGGCAAAGCATGGTCCAAGCTTACATCTGTAGAGATTATCAAATTTCTAACAGGAGGTTACAGGTTAAGCAAAGCACGGTCAAGTGATCTTTTCTGGGAAGCTGTTTGGCCTCGTTTACTAGCAAGAGGGTGGCACTCTGAGGAGCCAAATAATCATGGTTGTGCTGCAGGGTCCAAGCATGCGCTGGTCTTTCTTATCCCCGGTGTCAAGAAATTTTCAAGAAGGAAATTAGTGAAGGGAAACCACTATTTTGATTCAGTCAGTGATGTCCTGAGTAAAGTTGCTGGCGAACCTGGCCTTCTTGAGCTTGAGATTGGAGCTGATAAGGGAGATATTAGCAAGCAAGAAAATGGATGGGCCAGTAAAACTGAATTGAACAAAGCAGATTTCGCTGATCAGCAGCGGCACTGTTATCTCAGGCCCCGTACTCCAAATCGTATGGATGTCATGAAGTTTACAGTTGTGGACACAAGTCTTGCTAATGGGGGAACAATGAAGGTTAGAGAATTGAGAAGCTTACCAGTCGGAATGAGGAATGCTTCCAACCCCAGAAGTCATTCTAAAGATAGTGACACAGGAACTTCTGAGGAGTCAACAGATGAATCTGATTCTTCTGATACCATGTGTTCTGATAGGGAAGAGCAAAATGGTTTGAAACCAACAAAGATAGATCTTCATGAGTCTTTTGACAGGTTGCTCAAGAATGCTTCAAATGGGGCGGATTCAGATATGGATGTATCTTTTGACAGGATTCTTAGGAATGCTTCAAATGGGTCCTTTTCAGTAGGTGGCCCTGATTTGACTAATGCACCTGTTGTAAAAATGTCAGACCAGAAAAGCAGTATGTGCAATGACATACAAGCAAGAGATGTGATAAAAGCCGAATTGAGCCAGAGAATGAAAACTAGCAATAATGTACATCTAGCCCCTGTTATGAAAAAACGTAGGAGATTAACTGCTTGTAATCGCACAGAGACAACCAGCGGCACAATTAATGGCTTAGTGGGTCCCATATTGAAACAAGATGAGGCCAGATGCTGTGCTGGCTATGCTGATTTTAGTGAGAATGGTACCTTTCAAGTTGATTCATCGAAGGAGAAGTTACCATCCACCAGTTCTTTGTCTAAGGGCAGCTTAGTCATAAGTGGAGAAGGCACTCTCAGGAATGCAATTTCTGGTGTTGAACATCCTTATGAGGGACCTCCACCCCGAAGGGTGATTGACCTAAACTTGCCTATCCTTCCGGATGGTGAAACTGATGAATATTTTATGAAGGAAGAGACAGAAGGACAACCTGATCAGATAAGCTGGCAACCAGATGATTCCAGTGCACATTTGCATACTTTGGCACAGCAACCTGACATGATCAATCGGAGACACAGTACAAGAAACCGCCCACTGACCACTAAAGCACTTGAAGCTCTTGCTTTTGGATTTTTGAACACAAAGCAGAAGCGGAGGTTTGGAGATGCACGATCTCGCCGTGCTCGTAGTAGGGGGAGAGTTAATGAGAATCTTGGCGGTGGTGTTGCCGATTTACATGATGATGAGAGGGAAGATGATCTGAGTACTGATAGTAATAACATTTTCGCTTCAAGTTTAATTTGAGGGAAGATGGATCAAATCTTGGATTAAAATTTGATTGAGTGCTCTGATTATAGTATAAGAATATAACTTCCAGCAAGTTTTCATATGATCTACAAGTCCTGTTGACTACTCTGTGATTTACGAAGAGCACAGCAATGTCTCAACACTGTGCAACATATATCAGAGGTTTCATGAAATCACAGATTGGTCCATGAGACCATTGACATTGGCTCCGCGAGGTACCAAGACTGAGGATACAACAGTAGTTATTTGTTTGGTTGCCGGAATTTGAGTGGGAGAAGTTGCAAGGCCAGTTGATTACATTGTGATCAAGTTTCTCCTCCCATTGTACCATTGATTTGAGTTCATTATAGTCCAATCCAGAATCCATGTTGACACTATAGGTTGCTTTATATGTTTGTTTTCATTTAAATCACCCCTTAATGAAGTGAAACTTATGGTCTCTTAGATGGTACCAACATCCAACAGAAGTGGAAACAGTTTTGGTTTCTTGCATTCTTGAAAAGCAGTCAGTTTTCGAAGTAATCTCAGGTGTCAACTTCAATCGCTTCAACAACCATATCTTAACTGCTTTACAGGATACTGTTTTGTCTTTGGCCTTTTTTGTCTGTTCAAGGTTTTATATATAAAAATTTATTTAAATAAATTAATGATTTTTTTAGGCTTTTTTAAGGTTTACATAAACTACAATAAAACCACCAACTCGTGCACAAAGCAGCCGTTAAACCAAAAGCAAGTCATAGAAATTGGACACTTGGTTTGCTAAAAGGTGATCCACGTGGCCTTTTGATTCCCGCACCTCTCTCGTTTCAACAAGAGGGCGCGTGCTTTCCATATTCATCTTCTTCCTCTTCGTTTCTTCTCTCCCCCCCCTCCCCCCACCCACTTTCATTTAGGGTTTATTTCTTTGTTGAATCTCCAAATTACTATACCCGTTATTTGATTTAGAATAAAAGGCTAAGCAGTTGTGTCGTTTTGAGTTGGTAATAAATTTGTAAGTGAAGAAGAAGATGGGTCAGGCATTTCGTCGAGCAACTGGAAGGATTGCTGCTTCTTCTCCTCCAACAAAAGCGAAGACCTCAGTCGATCGGAAACCATCTGTGAGCCCTACTGAAGAGGTCAAGATCTCTCCCACTGCTGCTCCATCCGACGGTCGCGATCGTCCTGGTGAGCTCCTCTTTGGTTTTTTGGTATCTGATAATTGAATAAACTAGCTTAAATTTATTAGAAACCAACCTTTGAATTTGTAATGTTGAAGTGCATCTTTTTTTTATAAAAATATGCATTGTGGTTACCGTTTATTGGTTAAATTTGTTGCAATTTTTGTAATACAATTTGCGGCATGCCCTCTCACCATAATTGTGAGAAAATGTTCTAAATTTTATAATTTTGGGTGACTTTTTGAAGATGAGATGCAGCAATACAATGCCGACAATGTGCTTGAAGAACGAGATCCCAGATATGATGAAATGCTTGGTCAAATGCTGGGAAGAATTAGAACAAAACCTGGAGGGAAACTTGAGATGGGTGAGGTGAGATTTTGAATATTGGTGCTTGCTATTAAACAATTAGCAGTTTAATAGCCATCAATGTTATATAGGTGAAAACTCTGGTGAGAATTGGAGACATTTGTTCAAGGGTACTCTTTTCTTGTACCTGAGAATCCGCTCTTTGGGCAATGTTTATTTCTGCAGTGTTTTTGTTCACACCTCAAACAGAAACACTGCAGCTTACCACCATTGCAATAGGTTGATTAGATAATATTTGTTTAAAATGGTTCTTTCTGCCTACATTCTTGTCAGATTATTTCTATTCTAGTGCATTGTGACTGTTCACTCTTGTCTAACTCATAAGATGGTATATGATAAACTGAGATTGGTGAAAGAATCTCGTTTGCTATGAAGTGATAAAGAGTAGCGTTTGTGGAGTGGTGATGATATATTCTTCGAACTTCATTTTTGTGGTAAAAACTGTTTGCACCATGTTGATTGCTTCTGTGTGATTTATGAAAATTCTAAATTAATGTTGCAGTCCTCAGTGGGGGAAAGAGATAAAAGACCAATGCCAAAACTTCGAAACACAAAGCCAGATTCTACTAGATATGAAGAAAGGCCAGCTCCGCCGGGAACCTTAAATGTAGCACAGCTTCGCCACATCATGCTTCTGCATCAGGGCAAGGCTGAGGATCACAACGGACCTATGGATGCTAATCAGATTGCTGAAAAGTACAGACTCGATGTCGTGCAGGTTAAGACGATCTTGCAGTTTCTAGCAGTGCCATCAGAAGACAGCAGTAACCAGGAAAAACCAACAGCGAAAGACTTGAGTACTTGACTTCCACTTCTGCAGTATGAATGTAATTTTACACTGAATAAGGCATGGTGGTCAATTTTGAAAATTACATGAAGCAACACCAGCTGATAAAGTGGTTGATTTTCTTCATCAATCATCATATAGAACAAAAGATACAAAAATGTCTTTTGAGATCATTTCATTACGTAGGCATTAGGCAATTTTGTATAATAAGCTTATGTGTTTTTCATTCTTTTCTTTTGGTCTTTTGGTGGGCTTGTCAAAGACACCAAGATACAAGTTCTTTTAACTTCACTGGGAAATCTGATATTTGACTGCTGAATGATAATTTCTTTGAATGATGGCGTCTGGGGTTCTGGGCTCGTAGATTTTTTGACCGAGCTCTGAAACACTTGTCGTGTACTAGAGTTGACATTCTGATGGGAAGTTCTTTTGGTTTTTTTTTTTTTTTTTTTTTATTGAAAATGTCCCGACTAATTTATATATACCTCCATTAATCTTTTGAAATCCTAACATATCATCAATGGGTCACCTCACTTGGTGTCCATGAAAACTTGAATTCAAGAACTCATATTAAATAATTTTGGATGCGTTTGAATTATTGTTTTTATTCATATTCTCAATCTTATTTTTTAAATATTGTTTGGTACGTTATTCCCAAAATATTATTCTTTTTTTTTAATTACATTGAGACCCTATAAGTTTATTAATTTCATTAAATACCTCTCAGAAAAAAATTTAAAAACTAACAAAAACACCTCCATCCGCCAATACCTGCCAGATTCTGACAACCACCGTCGATGGTAGCCGAAATCTATCACAATAGTCACACAGCCATCGGAAATAACTGGTAATGGCCAGATCTGGCCTTTTCCGGCCAGATCCACAATGAATCTGGCCAAAAAAGGCCAGATCTGCCGTCAACAACGACCATATCTGACGGCCAAAGATGGTCGTTGTTTCAACCTTTTCCGGTCGTCGCAGCCACAACAATTCGTAGATCTAACCAGAAAAAGCCATAACGACTCGTTACGGCACAGATCCGACCGATCTGTGTCGTAACGAAATTTTCCCACTGCAAGTAGTGGGAGTATTTTTGTCATTTTATATATTAAGGTCTTTAATTAAATTAGTAAACTTAAGGGTTTTTTTCATAAATTTTTAAAGTTTACCTCGTAATACTCCCATATCCAACAACCCAATACTATCCCCAAAATCCTATCCAAAATAATAAACCGAACGTACCTTTTACGATTTTATCATCAAACCACCCAGTGATGGTTCCTTGCAGTAAAGTTATTAAAGTGATAACTACTTTCCAGGATTCAACACTTTGCTGAAGAACCAACTTATTGTCTCGTGGGTAACAATATTTTCAAATTTCAAGTAAGAAATCTGGGTATTCAAATCGATCATTCCAATCTCAATCTTGCAAANAATGTCTTTTGAGATCATTTCATTACGTAGGCATTAGGCAATTTTGTATAATAACCTTTGTGTTTTTCATTCTTTTCTTTTGGTCTTTTGGTGGGCTTTTCAAAGACGCCAAGATACAAGTTCCTTAACTTCATTGGGAAATCTGATATTTGACTGCTAAATGATAATTTCTTTGAATGATAGCGTCTGGGGCTCTGGCTCGTAGATTTTTTGACCGAGCTCTGAAACACTTGTCGTGTACTAGAGTTGACATTCAACAAAGTTCGTTCCCTTGATGTGGAGGTTTTTTTTTTTTTTTTTAATCGAAAGTATTTATACATACTTCAATTAATCTTTTAAAATCTTAAAGTGAATAATTAGATAAATTCTTAGTGGGTCACCTCATTTGGCGTCTAGGAGAACTTGAATTCAAGAATTCATTAAATCATTTTGCTAGAACTTGAATTCAAGAATTCATTAAATCATTTTGCTCTTTCGCCATCAGACCATCCAGTAATAGTTCCTTTGTTGTAAAGCTCCGTTTTAAAAATCGAATCGGACTGGCCGATCAGACCAGTCTGATAAGGACCCGACAGTTTCTCCGGTTCGGTTTAGGTCTTAGGAGGCTTTGTAATATTTCAAAATTATATAGGTTACTTTGTGATTTTATAGGGGTATTTTGAATATATATCAAAAGTTTAGGGATTAATTAATAATTTTTTGGAAGCATTTTTTAAATAAATAAAATTTTTAAGGACTAATTTAAACTTTTTTAGGAGAATTTTTGTAATATATTAAAATTTAAGGGATTAATAATAATTTTTTATAATAAAATTATCGTTAACGTCATCGGTCCAACCGATTGACCCGTGACCCAGGCAGTAAAATAGATTGCCCTCTGGTCCGAGTTTTAATACAATGCCGTAAAGTTCTTAAAGTGATAACCATTTTCCAGGATTCAAAACTTTGCCGAGGAACCAACTTATTGTCTCGTGGGTAACAATATTTTCAAATTTCAAGTAAGAAATCTGGGTATTCAAATCGACCATTCCAATCTCAATCTTGCAAAATAGTTTATACTGGAACGAAACCAAATACAAGTTAAATGAAAAAAAAAAAACAAAAAAAGGCATCTACATATCACTAGTAATCGCTTTTCTCTATGTATTAACTTTTAGAATAATACTACACATACATTATTTTCATACAACATTTCTCATACAACATTATGTGATAAAATATGATTGGGTGAACGTTTAATTTTAACTTTAAATCAACTAATCATATCTTGCCACATAATGTTGTATGAAAAATGTTATATGAAAATAATGTATGTGTAGTATTACTCTAAATTTTAACCTCAAATATTGTAGAATCTACCACTAACAGGCTTATGGCCTGTAAACTAATAAAAAATGTAATACGATTCCTCCTCTTTCCTTCAAGAGGGCCTTTTAAGATCGAGTAAAAAAGAATGAGATTAATACCAACAGATCTATAGGACAAAAAATAAGGTTAGATTCAAGTCAAAATAGACTCTAACCAATCTGATGCAAATTCATAAACCACGAATGTTACGGCACCTGCAGGTGCAGCTTTGACAGTTGATGGAACAATGCCCTTGTAAAGACCAGCCCAACCCTCTGACTGCAGTATTCGACGTAGTCCATCTAACATATTTTTATAAGCACGGTGTTCGACTCGAGCACCATATTTTGGGTGCCTCTGCAGTCCTTCAATCTGCAAAACCCAAAGTTTTTAAGCTTCACATACATAATTTTAGGAGGAAAAAAACAGCTTATTACCATATAAATTTATGCTTCTGGTTTCACATTATTTTCAATCAACTAATGTGAGCACAGCTTGAGCACATCATGATAAAAACCACATAAAAAATATTGGTGAAGAGACATGATTTACAGACAATGCGTAATTTCAGGATGAGCAGAGATCAAACCTGGAATCGTTTTTTGACCACATCAAGTGGATGACAGACAAGTTTAGCACATGTCCCAGACGCTATTCCACAGAGAAAAAGCTGAAAGCTTGAAGGACTGTCGTCTGTACCAGTGGAGCTGCTAGAAGATCTGCTCTGGTTCCAGGCCTCCAAGAACATAATAATAAATCGAAATATAAGAACAAAAGTTTACTCCAACAGCTAGTTTAACCAATGACCAGAGAGAAATATCCAACAAGACTTGGCTACTTTATCCAAATTATGGTTTCTCTCCAATATTGTACAGGACAAATTTTGTTGGATATCAATCTGGCAAAGAATAATGCTATGTGCACTAACCAAAAACCATACAACCCAAGTACTAACTGACGTGGCAGACCTCTCTTATTGCCACGTCAGTTCCCCCCAAAAAACTTAAAAAAAAAAAAAAATTTCAAAATTTCAATTGTTAGTACTTGGATTAGTATAATTTGGTTAGTACACATAGCATTACTCTCTGGCAAATTTCATGATTAGCTACAAAGAGCATCATTGCAAGGGTGTTTTAAGTATGCCTGTATAAGAGTTAACAAATTATCCATCTAGCACTAAGTATGAGGAGTTAATGCCACACATATAAGAATTAAGGGCAATTATATAATATTTCCAGATACATTAAAAGCATTTCATGTAATTTAAACATAAACTCAATCCTAACATGGAGTGCAAATGGTGCTCAAAGGCCAAAATAGTTCTCAAAACCTGGAAATGCAGTCAATAGATATATATACCCATTGCTCACATTCAATTGAAAGGAAACCAGAGGCTTACCCTGGTCCAGCGCTTAAATGTGTCATAGGTGCCAAATTGCAGACCAGCATAAGGAATAATCTCAACCAGTGTTGGTGACAATCCAGCATACAATCCTCTGAAGCCACGGGTTCTGACAATATCAACAAATGCAGACCTCATGGTTGGATACACCTAAACGTAGCCATTTACTAGTCAAATAATGCTCTTATATGAACTCAGATGGCCTTAGTTCATCTGTCAAACATTTAAACTGAGTCATGGAACCCATGTGCTTTTTTATGTTTAACAAAAAATAAAAATACATCTTTTCCTTGCAGCTCAAGATATGGGAGAAAAGTGCCAAAATGATCCATTTTGAAGTCAAATAAAATTTAAACACAATGAATTGGTCATAATGCTATTAGCCCATTTTGAAGTCAAAGAGTAAACTTTGAGCAATAAGAAAAAGCATAAAAATACTGAATGAGAATGATCATCTGTGCAATACCAAATTAGCATTGATGGTTTTAATAGAAAATTATCTAAAATACTCACAACAAAGAAGGGGCAAAACAGGTCCCATGTATAATCAAACTGACACATCAGGACTTTCGAAATGAGTGCTCACAATTATAGTACATTTTACTTCGTAACCACAACAATTAAACAAAAAAGAAAAACAAATGATCAATGATTTCACTAACATGTAAAGTTTCATATTTCAGTTCATCATGTTCAATGAATCATTTTAACACACAAAAAATGGGCCATACCATCCTACCAATTCATTTAGTCAAAGAATATACCTTAGGCTCTCCTTGTGATGCTAATATGGTCCGTAAAAGATCAAATGGATAAGATCCAACAGTAGCTGCACACCCAGCTAATGCCCCACTCATGTACGACAAGTAAGGACTCAAATTAATGTGATTTTCTGTAACACAAGAAAAGAATGGAGCACAACATATAAGCGAGTGAAGAACACCATAAACACACAATAACCATGTTGAAAGTTCAAAATGACAGCATATGTGCTCTAATACTTCAGAATAGGACTAAAAATAAACTCAACCAGCTCTCATTTCCAAGAAAAAGTTAGAAAGAAACAAGTCCAGATGCACTACTTCAAGCACACTATTGAAGCTACTATAAGCACTTAATCAAAGGGAAAACAAGGTGAAATCTTGAAGCCAACCACGTAGTGGGAAAAAAAAAAAAAAAAAAAAGAATATTCAATCATACCTAGTAGTTGCCACAGCTATTATCACAAAATTTTTTGCTCAACAAAAAAACAAACTACCTGTTTTAGAAGAACCAGCTGCAAACGTTTTCAGTTTGTGTAATACTGTAAATTGTATGGCAGTGTATGGCATAACCATAAGTAAAGCAGGGACATTGCCACGCCAGAAACCCTGTCATAAGCAACTATCATGAATAAAATATTGCAAAAGGAACAAAATCATTGTAAAATTAAATTATGAAAAAATCTACAAAACTTCCGAAGGTAGCATTAGGATCTCATCAAATTATCAACTGAAGATAACAACAGTTAAGGAATGAACTACCATTTTGCAGTGTCAGAAACCTCCTGCAATAATTTATAGAATATATTATAAAATTTAACAAAGGTTACCCATACAAGTTACTGTAAAGCTAATTCCACATTTTAGCAAACAAAAGGAGTTACCTCAGCAAGCTATAGTTTCATTAGTTAAAAAAACAAAATGTATAATCAGTTTCACCTAGGCTTCTTGCAGTAACTTAAAATAAAAAAAAAAAAACCAAACAGGTAAATAATGCCAGTTGGCCATGAGAAAACTATTGAGGAGTTCATTACTCAACTAATATCAGATAGCTTATATAAATTAAAACCACTTAAAAAATGATTCATCAACAAAGTTCCCAGTTACTAATGAAAATAAGTAAAAGCCATATAAGTCCATCCAAGCAACTGAAAACTAAAAAGATGGGTACAAACATACAACTTGAATACTGTCTAAAGAAAAATAGACAAAATGTTCCACCAGAGATTGATTTATCATACCGGTAAACCTTCCTCTCTAAATATATCCTTTGTTGCTTGAAGCATTCCATTATATTTTGATGCCGTATGCATATTTTCACTCAGCAAAGCCCATGAAGTTGTGGGCTCCAATTGAACCTGTCAAATAATTGCCATTACAATCACATATACAAATATAAAAATTAACTGCCCCAATTACCCGTATACCTAGGCACAAAATCTTTTTTGTCCCATCTAATATACTATTTAAGCTTCTCAGTCAAACTCAGTATAGCACATCAACTTAAAAAATAAAGAGATGAAGGATCATACAAACATTTACCAAAACAGAAATTCGTGACTAATATCAGTTTCTTACAAATAAAACAATGCCTTACGCTGTGCACTAATGTGCCAAATAAAATTAACCTATATTCGGAATCACAGGCACAATTTAATATTTCAATAACTCAAAAAACTCTTCAAACACGCCTAAAGAACTAAAGTTGAAACTGGAACTCTGGCTGAAACGTACAATTCCTCAGAAGAATGAAATCTCAGGCTAATTATTAAATGAATTTTATTAGACTAGAAAACCTGATGGTAGATAACCCACCCAAAATTGTATTAAAAAAAAAAACTATAATTAACACCATAGATTTCTTACGAGTTTAGATAGATAAACAGCATATTGTAGCGCATTCTGTAGTTTTAATTACTATCAAACTAACTAAACTGTATGTTTCTCATCTAACATTTAATGGCGAATAGACAAGTTAAACAGTAGAAAGATAATTAAAGGAAAATCAAAAGGACCTGGAATCGGATCTTTATAACATCAAGAGGAGAAGTAACTGTGCGTGAGATAGCACCGGCAACCGCCCCAGCCGTTGAATCAATCAACGCACGTTTAAGCTGTCCAGGCTCCTCCATCACCGGCCAAACTTCTCACCTCTCTAAACTTACACTATAACCTAAAAATAACCATAAAAAAAAGCATACCAATCACGTCAAAACGGTCAAATTCACTGTACCGCACAATAAAATGTCAAAACATAAAAATAAATTTACAACTGAAACGAATAAAGAAAGGATGAAAAACGAAATAAAAACCTTAAAAATACGAAAGTTAGGGTTTCACGATTTAACTGTGAATTGCGAAACGAAATTCGGAGACTGTGAGAAAGAATGGCGGCCATTGAAATTGAATACCATTTGAAAAGAGAGCAATTTATTTCTTTCTGTCTTTCTTTTTTTTTTTTTTTTTTTTCCTCCTTTTTGCCGCCTTATTGGATTCACAGCGGCGACTCGAAGAAATTGAGCGAGGAGATGAGTTTTCAAAACGATGAAAGAGGAGATTTTAATTTAATAAAATAAAGAAATTGACAGATTAAATCTTGGTGTCTGTGTATAATAAATAAATAAATATTATTATGTAAATGAGAATCTTCTTTAATTTTTAAAAAGTTGTACGGTCGTATTTGAAAAATACTAAAAAAATCTCTCTATATTAACGGGCAAGGTTGTGGTTTGTAAGGTATATGTTTAAAATAATGTAATATTGTTGGTATTAATTTATTAAATTAACAGAAATTAAAATCAATTTTTTTTTTTTTTCCAAATGAAATGTCTACCTTTGTAACAGAATAAAAACATTGTCCACCTTTGTAACAAATATTTCTCTCGACATTAGAAACATGAAAAACGAGTATATCATAATTTATTTATATTATTATTATTAGGGATGAGCGTGGATAAAAGATAGAACCGGAACTAGCCCTATTAGGGCTTGGTTTTGGCTCTGGAAAACTAGAATTGAGAATTTTTAGGTTTGGCTTTGATTCTTATAGTGCTGGAATCAGGAACCGTAACTGGAATAGGAGTCGAGGTTTGAGTAGGAATCGGGATTGGATTATAATTTTTGTAAACTGTTAAGGTGTATTTTTCATTTTTTTTTAAATGGAGGGTAATTAAAATTAACCCAAATACTTGGAACCAAAACTGGAACCTATGTTCCAGGTTTAGGTTCTGATTCTAGGTTTCTAGGAACTGGAATCAATCGGTTTCGGTTTCGGTTCTGGTTCCAAATTTTAAGAACCGGTCGTTTCCGATTCTATAAAAAAATGCAGGATACCTAGAATCATTCACCCCTAATTATTATAATTAAAATAGTGGGTAAAATAGAATATCTAAATATTTGGTCAATTAAATGATTAATGTTTCAATGTTTGTGTGATAATGCCTCACTTCTTCACGTATATAATTATGATTTGGGATATTTTCAATTTGAGTAAATATTTTCCTCAGTATAAGTGGGTAATAAATGGACTTTAGTTTATGTAAAATTAATGATTAGATATTCTTTTAGGGAATAGGTTAATGACAATAATCCTCTTAGTTATATTCAAATAATAAATTTTTTTCTATTACAAAAAAAATAATAAAAATCTTTTTATCGTTAATACTTTAGTGTTAAAATAAACCGCAGAAAAACAATTAATTATTATATATTTCTATTAATCCATATTATAAACTTTACCACACGGTCCACACTAACTAGTTCTAAAGGATTTTTGAAATTTTTGAAATCTCAAAAAGACTTTTGTTATTTAATCAAACCTCACGGGATCAAGAAATTAATAATAATAATAATAATAATATAGGCTTCGTTTGGTTCAAGATTAGGAATACTACTCTTAGTATTCCCAAAAAAGTTAAACAGTAAAATACCCAAAAACTCTCATTTTTGGGAATACTATTTTCAATATTATTCAATTTTTTTTTTAAACTCTCTAAATTTGTTAATTTAATTAAATACCCTAAATAATTTTTTTAAAATTACAAAAACACCCTAACAATCTACATTTACCAGATTCCGGCCACCACCGCCGGAAAATGACCGGAATCTGGTAGGATGGTGCACTACCGGCTGAATCTGGCCTGTAGTGCACCGATCTAGCCTTTTCCGACCAGATCCACGGTGGATCTGGCCGGAAAAGGCCAGATCTTTGGCCGTAATAGTCAGTCACGACGACCAACAAACGGTCGTCGTTGACCATCAACGACGACCGTTTGTTGGCCGTCGTTGAGAGCAAATACGGCCAGATCTGACGGTTGACGGCCAGATCTGGCCGTAGATCTGGCATTTGCCGGCCAGATCCACCGTGGATTTGGCCGAAAAAGGCCAGATCTGCGCATGACCGGCAAGATCCAGTCGGTCATGCGACCATAAGGTGACTCCGGCCACCTCCGGTGGTGGTGGCCGACTGGGGGTGTTTGAGGGTGGGTTAGGGGTATTTTTGTTAACTTTTAATGTTTTATTATAGGGGGCATTTTGTAAAAAAATAAACATATGGGGTATTTTAAACTTATAAATCCTACATCGTAATACCCACCAAATTCAACTTTTTTTAAAAACTTTTCCCAAAACCCTTAAATTTTAAACCAAACGGAGCCATAATGATTGAAATTAAAGAAATGTATCGAAATCACTGTTTGATAGTCAAAGTTGACACGAGTTTAAAACTTGATTTGGGTTCTAGACAATTGACTCGTCAAACTCAAATTTTTAATAATATAATTAAAAATAGATATAAATTTGAAAAAGAAAAAGTAAAAAATTGACCTTTTTCTTTATTAAATTAAACTTGGCCCTAGATAGTGCTTATAAATAAGCATCTCCTTTATTTTTATCTTAATCATATCCAACTTTAATTTGCAGATATTGTTTTCTATTAACGCTTTCTAATTATAAACAAGTTCGTGTAATTTTCTAATTTCTACGCAATTGAATACAGCTTCAACGTAATACGATTCATTAAAGAGAAGAATAGAATAAACTAAAGATAAAGCATTGAATCTTGAGATGAATATTGTGAGATATATTTGACAGAAATTTATGTGAAAATTATAAATTAACTCTCTCAATTACCAACAAATTTAGCTAATTGTGTTTCACTTGGCCAAATCTCATCACGTAATTAATTTTAGTAAAATGGTTAGAAAATTGATCGGTAAACAACCATGTGTAAACAATAAGAGAAACATGGAAACCAATAAACTAACCCGAACACCAGTTACAAAAAAAAAAAAAAAAAAAATGCTCTCAGTGGTCACTTTTATTAGTAATCTAAATGGATCGAATTCAGAACCTTTTAAGTAATATACCCAATATCCTAATTGACCGTTGGACCACCCAGTGATGGTTAACTTAACTGATGTTTTCTCTATTGCTACATGGAGCATGAAATTAATGTTTCAATTAACATGGTATTAACTTTTAAAGTTTAAAATACTAAAATAAAAATGTAAATTAAAAAACTTAAATTTTAAACTACAATGGTGTGATCACCAATGGAACTGTTGTTGTAACCAGAAATTTATTTTTTTAACGAATAATTCGAACTAAAGATTTTCTAGTTTTTTTTTTTTTTTAAAGATTATTATTATCTTGATTTTAGATTATTATCTTGGAATGTCTCATCAAGTGGAAGCAAAACAAGAACTTGCTTTAGTTTATTAGAAAACAAACTATGGTACATGGAGATGCCCAAGGCTTATGGAGGATGCTTTTGGCGATCTTTTGATGATTGGTTGATTATGGTAAAACCACTGACGAGTAATGCTACAGCCATTATGATAGTGCACCGAATTTGTGCACCGAATAACGTGATAAAATCCTGACCGTTGATTAATATTAAGTTAAAATTAATAAACGGTCAAGATTTTGTCACGTCATTCGGTGCACAAATTTGTTGCATTACCGTTGGTGGCTGTATTATTTTCCAATCATTGACTGTTCTTTCGTTGAGAAATTCAGATCTCTCTTTTGAATCCATTTTCAGGAGTTGATGGTCTTCTTCCTTGTGCAATCAACAATGATCATAAATTGGTATTTTCAGGGCATCCTTGTGAGAGGACTTTTACAACCTCTATTGAATAATCTTATTTTTTTAATAATTTTATATAATCACAAATTTATTTATATATTAAAGTATTCAATATAACTTCAATTTCCTATTCTTTATAAGTACTTTTACGACCTGTATTGAGTTTTATTATTGCCGATTTGCAGTGGCGGATCCAACCATTTTTTGGGTGGGCCATGGCCCATCCTCAAATTCTTTTTTTTAATATTAATATGTATAATTTATATATTTTGGCCCACCCTAACAAAAATATTAATGGACAAAAATAATAATGTATAATAAATTTTTATTTTGGCACACCCTAAAAAAAATTCCTAGATCCGCTATTGCCGATTTGGATTCAGAGAAGGAAAACTCGTTTTGCATAATAAAAATGTTTCAACAAGATAATCTCTTTTAGACGTTATATACAATTCTATACTCTTTAGTCTCTTAGAATTAGGGTTTTGTAATAACATATTGATCTTGCTCATGGAGCGCACTTGCATTCTCTTATTAATAATATCATATAATGTTAAACACATAACAAATTTGAAGACTTAAAATCGTCTTCCTTTTTCTCATTTATACTTATCATCATAACATCAAATTCGTAATTATAAAGTCGAATAAAATATACCATGGTAGTAAATATAGATTAAACAAATTAATTACATACCTTATTTTTGGATCCACAAATGAAAAAGATGACAAGAAAACAATTTGAAGTTAAGGGAGGAAAAAGATTGTAGTATAAAAATACCAACTTTCTCTACACACTTTCTCACTTTTCCCAATATAAAAATACCAATATATCTTTTTACTTTGTAGTATAAAAAAAGAGCAAACGACATGCATCCGCCCATAGTTTACCGAAAAGATAGTTTAATACCCAAAAAGTTTGAAAATAATAAACACCCACTTTCTGTTAAGTTTTGTTAGTGAATTCCATCTGTTGAAGGAGAATATGGTAATTTCCTATTTAGCCGAATAAAAAGCCATTTTACTCCTTTCTTTTTCAGTTAAACTCACCTTTCTTCGATCAACTCTCCATCTTCCACCTTTCTTCTTCAAAGTTGCTGTTTTCCTTTTTCCTTCACCTTCTCTGTTGATCTATCTAGCAACCATGAATTCGATGTTAACAGCTTTGATGCTTTCTCTGCTGAATTCTTTGGGCAGAAAGTCTGCAACCAAGAAGGTTAACAACATGCAGTCGGAGTCGAAGGATTCTACAAGGGCGAATAAAACTTCTGACATGGAGAAGAAGCAAGTGGGTCCATCTTCATCAAACCGAGTTTTGGGAAGGCTAGATCTTGCAGCATGATGAAGCTGAAGCATCAATGAACGAAATCATGCAGCATGCTGGAGCTGAAGCATCAACGAATGAAACTGTAAATTAGTTAGTCTGTTATCAAGTTAGTTAACAGAGTTAGCAGTTTGTTAATGGTAATTAGTTAATCTGTTCAGTCTGTTAAATAGTAGTTAGAAGTTAGTTAGTCCAGCTCAGCTAAGATAAGAGTTGGTTATCAATAAACACATTGTATATAAGGAATAGATTTGCTCCAGAGTATCCAACTTTGGAGCAAATCTAGCCCTTTTCTCCTATTGATTCAGTTCTCTGCTTATTATCGTTGAAGAAGCTGACACCTTTTTAATTGAAGGGCTACAAACATATTCTCCCTCTCAAGTGAAGAGTTTGAGTCGTTTAAAGGAATTTAGTTGATTCATAGGAATTAGAGTTAGTTAATACAAGATTTTACTCCTCCATTCTTTCATTCATATCTCCGTAAAATCAAGATTACTTGAGCAACCCGACTCTCCTCTTCAAAACCCATCCCTCCACTAGCCCTCCCCACTTGTCGTTTGTTGCTCACGACCTGCATCTGGCACCGCGAGACAGTCGCGTTTTGCTGCCTTTTCTTTCACGCTTCGCGGGCGTTTTGGTGTTTGATCGGTGGGTTGCTGTTTAGAATTGTTTGTGTTGCTGTTGCGGTTAATTTTATTTCTAGTCGTAGCCGCTCCCCTATCACTCGAACTTGCTGCTTCATTATCGCCCACCACTTGTTCGACCTTTTGCCGCATCTGGCTCCCAGTCTACCCCGCAACCAACTACTGGAGTCTAGGTTTGTTGGTGACTGATTGTCAGATTTCCCGGCCATTTCCTTGCCGCCAGGGACCAAAAACTTTTTGGTTTTGAAAACGTACACCACTTGTTATCCTTTTTCTCAGCTAAATAGGAAATTATTACATTGTCCTTTTAACATACAGAATTCACTAAAGAACTTGACCGAAAGTGGGTGTTTATCATTTCCAAACTTTTTGAGTACCAACCTGTCTTTAAGGCGAAAGTGGGTGTTTATTATTTCCAAACCTTTTGAGTACCAACCTGTCTTTAAGGCAAAATATGGGTGGGTGCATGTCGTTCGGCCTATAAAAAAAACAAATGAAAAACATGCTGAACATCCTATGTTTAGTGATAACTTGAATAGGGGCAAATGATTAAAAGGCCACATTGGCCTAATTTGATTAAAACGCCATGTAGTTTTTTAGCCTTTATTAAATGACCTTATTTTTTATTAAGACAAACTAATAGCAATTAAACACTAATCATTGCTTAATTAGGATTAATGAAGTATTGTGTAATTTTTTAAAAAATTATATATATCCCCAAAAACCTAAAATTCTTGCAAACAAACCCAACCCCAAACCCAAACATAACATCTTCTTCTTCTTCCTCCCTCCATTAATGCATCCCTCCTCTGGTTGTTGTTTATTCTAAGCTTCGTCTATATCTTCTTCCTCTGCATCTTCTTCTTTCTGTATATCTTCTTCTTCCTATACATCTTCTTCTTCTGGCCAGTCGTGCGCCGATGTGGTCTTTTCTGGTCAGATCTGGCCATTAACGCCTAGATCTCGTGCACCGATGTGGTTTTTTCTGGATCTGGTCATATTTAGTCGTCAACAACGGCCAAAGATATGGCTGTCGTTGATGGTCAACGACTAGCTACAACCACATATCTGGTCGTCAACGGCCAGATCTTTGGTTGTAGATATGACCTTTTTCGACCAGATCCATGGTGGATCTGGCCGAAAAAGGCTAGATCGGCGCAATATCGATGAGATCCAACCGGTAGTGCGCCATTTAGTAATTCTACCGCAAAAATTATTCAGACAAATAATAGACAAAGAAAATAAAATAATATTGAATTTAATTATAAATTTATAGTAAATCTAATTCCAAATAATGTAAATTCATTGTTCATAAAATAATTCATAACCTAAACTACTTAATTTGATAATATATAGGAAAAAATTTAATACAAAAGTAGTATTCATACAATAATAAAGTTGAATAAAATATATAATGTTGGTAATTATAGATTAAACCAATTAATTACATACCTTATTTTCAAATTCACAAGGGAAAGAAGATGACAATAAATCAATTTGAAGTAATTAAGTCAACGGAGGAATAACGTTGTAGTGACCAGAGTTTTTTTTGTTTTAAAAAAAAGTAAATAATATAACATATTATAAATAATACATATTTTAATGTTAAATAAAATATATATCTATCAGTAATGCTATCCTTACAAGTCATTCTTACTAACAGCCTTACAAATTGACACGACAGATGCCAGCTCATCCACTACGTCACCCACTTGCCACATCAATCCTTTATTCCCTCTCAAATTAATGAATTAATATCAAATTTTGAGAGATAGAAACTAAATCAGAAATTGATTTCTTTTCCCCTGAAATTGGAAAATATCTCCCACCGCCGTCCAACCGCAACCACCTCTGTTGCCGTTGGACGAAAAATACGACCACCATCGCCGGATATCGTGGGCCCCCACCATCGCTGAGGTGTCTGGCCAGACGGACTCACTTTGTCTCGCTGAAGTCCGTAGTCCTCTCTCTCAATCTTTCCGGTGAATTAGAACTCCAATCAAACTTGCACTCCAGCCAGCTCTCTTGTCTTCGTATTACATTTGTGGGTCATCTTCAGCCAAACTTGCAGAAAAAGCCAGTTTCACTTTGAGGTGTTGAAGCTGCACCATATTATTTTTTCTTCTTTATCATTTAGAATTTTGTGAAACAAGAGGTAATTGATTTGAGCATTTTCGTGGTGTCATTTGCTATAGGGAAGGAGCTAGAAACAAAGGCTATTTCAATTTCGCTTTCTGTATTTTCTTCTCCAATTTCTTTTCTTCGCCGTCGATTTCCATTGGTATGAGTCCATCGTTGCGAGACTGAGGTTGTGTGTCGGTTGAAGAGCTTGATGGTTCTGAGACTAGAGAGATTAGCTTCACAATGACGGTACTAGTTTCTTTTGAGTGTTGTTGCCGTTTGATTTTGTTGTGGTCTATATGTGTTGTAATCATACAAAACTTTAGTTTAGTTTATTTTATTAGAATTGAGTTTAATTTATTTATGGTTTTTCACAGGAGGCAGAAACAAATGCTAAGAACACAGAGGAAGAGATATGTAGATTGAAGACATTGGAGGAGAGGAATGGACGGTTTAATAATTTAGCTTCTGATATTGAAAAGGTAATCATTTTTAATGAAATGATTCATTGATTAACTATGAATGAGGTGCCATCTATGTTACGATAGATTATTAATTTTTATGGTATTATATTATAATTCTGGCTATTATAAAATGAATTAGGATAATGATTGTGAAGAAATAGAAGATACAAGAAGTGCAGAAGAGGTATGTGAACCTAAGCCTAGGATGATTTTTGATTCACTTGATATTTTTGTCGAATACTATAGAACCTATGAGAATAAAATGGGGTTTGAAGTTATTATACGATCTTCAAAGAAAGAATATGATGGAGAGGTGAAAAATGTGACATTGGCTTGTTCTTGTAGTGGGAAGTTGAGCAGTAACCCTTGAAATGCTTTTAAAATATACCTAGTGACAAAGAGTGATTGTAAGGGTCGGGTTGGTGCATCCATACGTGCGGATGGAAGTTGGCAAATATGTTCAGTGGTGTTTGATGATAACCATAAACTCTATAGTCCAGCCAAAGCTAGATATTTGAAGAGAAATCGTGTAATACAACCATGTGTTAAAAGGAAGCTTGAAGTGAATGATAAGGCTAGAATTAGGCCAAATAAAAGTTCCATGTTAGTTGAAGCAGGTGGTGTTGAAAATTTGACTTCCCTACAAAAGGATTGTAGGAACTATATTGAAAAAGTTAGCATCCAAGTTAGGAGGATGCGACTTGATGATGGAGACGCTTTAGCAATCCAAAATATTTTCTGAGAATGCAAAAAGTTAATCCAAATTTCTTCTACATTATGGATTTAGATGAAGAGAGTCAACTACATAATGTTCTATGAGTGGGTGCAAGAAGTAGGGTCGCATTTAGGGAATTCGGCGACATTGTCACATTCGGCACTACATATTTGACTAATAAGTATTATATTCCATTTGCTACGTTTATTGGTGTTAAGAATCATTTCTTAAAGTTGTATTAAGAATCATTCGTGTTAAAGTAAACTTATAATTCAAATACAGTACCAGGTTTATTATGTAAAAAGTAGAAGTTTATATTTATATAAGTCTAACATACATTGAGATCTGTAAGCATTGAAACTCAAAAAACAATTATCTCCTCAATGAAACAGAGCCCAAACTTGCCAGACACTAGCTTTCTTAGCACAAAACTTAGAAGTAGAGGCCAAAAACTCAGAGGTGAACCCGAAAATACAATTCTGACCATCATCCCCACCATAAAATTCCTTATTCCTACACCCACCAAATTGGTCCTCTTCTTCAAACTCACACCCCACTCTTCTAGACATAAACCCAATTATCTCCTCAAGTTCCTCAACTCTCCTCTTTGATTTCGCCTTCTCCCTCTCCATTACCTCAATCTTGGATCTCAAACTCGCCATCTCCTCATTCGCAGCGTCGACAGAAGAGAATTAAAAAAAAAAAAGGTGTATGGCGAGTGAGTGCCGTGGCAGGTGATGTGACATTGCCACATCAGCTATCACGCCACTTTATATACCTTTATATATATATATATTTTTTTTTTAAGGTTAACATTTCTCCAAAAGATAATGCCGTACATGGTAAGTCTATTTGAGAGAAGAGAAGTCGTTATAGTTGAATTATGTCTATCAATTTTTATGAATTTGACACGTTAGCTTAGTTAATTAATTCGGCGTTTCATTAACGCATTAAAAGTAATCTGCAAATTATAATTTATTTAATTAAGATAGTATAAAAACAGTGGTCAAACTCAAGAATAATATGCTTCATAAAATAATTTGTTTCATCAAATCAATTAGCAGGTCATAAGGGAAAACCGAAAGTTATTCGACTAGAATGTAGTTGTTTTAGGATAGCATCTTTAAATTGGTAAGTAAAATACTAATTTCAATCCATTTTTAAAAATCTAAAGTCAATCGAACCAATTTTTTTTTGATAACCGGGATGTTCAGAGTAGTTTATATGCATCTCAACTAATCTCCTAGATCCATTGAATATCCAACCGAACAAATTTTCCTTGGGGTTGAAGACTGTTACTCGAAACAATAGAAGAATCGCAAGACTTCTTAACCGTGGTTAACTGATTACTTAACCATAGTTAATTCCGCGTATTCAGAAGTCAGAACCCAAACTATTATGCGTTGACGCGGACTTTGTTTTACCCTCGAATTTTCCAAACTCCCCAGGTTAAACGCTATATAAAATCCCCACCTCTTCGACTCTCCTCCTTTTTTTCATCCAAACAACAAATTTTCAGTCCGAGCAATGGCTTATCGCCCCTTAGAGCTCAACATAATCTCCGCAAAACACCTTAAAGATGTCAATCTCATCACCAAACAATAATTATTAGGCGTATTATTACAGGATACGGGTTCTGTTAGACTATTTGGGTACAGATTTAGGCTTAAACCTGAAATACAAGCCAGGAATTACGATTTCTAGTATGCATTAAACATGCATACTAGTATACACATCTATGCCACTCAAATAAAACTGATCAAGGTCAATACAAGCTTCATAAAATCAAAACCACAGAAACTGGTTTGAGTTTAAAATACATTACGTGATTCCAATCTAATCCAATTTCAAATGTTGCAGTTCCTCTGAAGCAGTATCTTTTAGAACATAATTTTGTACAGTGCATCCAGCCAAAATGAAGCAGTATCTTTTTGAAAATTACTGCATAACAGCAAACAAGACTTGCTTTAAGCTAATCAAACTAAAGTAGTGGTTAGCCTGTTGGAACGTGGAAACACAATTTAAATTTGTAGGAGCAATCTATAGGAATGCACAAAGAAAAGTGATGCCTCAGACGAAGCAAAACAATGCAAAAAGGTTCCACGTGGAATTTATACATGGTAAAAATCAAAGAAGACAATTTAGAAGCTTTACAAAATCAAGAAATTGAAATAAGTTAAAGGTTATAATCAGGAAATATAAGACTATGCTTACCCTATTCACAGTGAAAAGCACTTCAACCATTTTCGCAGACCAGTTACGCACTGCAGCAGCAACCTATAGATCCAAATGAGACAAAAACTAAAAGATGTTGTAGGTTGTCACAGAAAATAAATGCATTGTTCCATAGCAGATGCAGAATTGATCCAAATGGTATGGTAAAGCAATAGTATTAAGTTTCACACATGAAGTCACAAGCCTGTTCCAAAGAAGTTCTTAGTAACATTATTTGCATTTAATAACTCATATCAGCCATGGAAACCAATTAATGATGGCAGTTGACCTAGTAATTTATATTCCATAAAATCACTGCACCATAATTAAAATTTGCAAGCTGGAACTAACTTTTTTCCAATCTTTTCCATTTTACGATAGGCTTCATAGAAACGCTCAAGTTCTTCCTTGCTCCATTGTGGCCCTAACATGTCGGATAGCTTCCTCTTCTCAATACGGTAATAAATAATTGTAAAACTAAAAACTGAGTCCACGACCAAACATTTTAGAAATAAATATTGTTGATTATATGTTAGGATCTTACTACACTGAAAAAAAATAATCCTACTAATAAATCATTTTATTTCAGGTTGCGCGATCATAAATCTAAAACAATAATAAATTGACAAAACTTATATGAGAGTATATACTAAAATGGAAATTCGTCACAGTTGGTTTAAAACATTCAATTGCATCCCTAGTAATGGACACTAAAAGAATCAACAATAAAAAGAAAATTTGGTAGGAGTAGAAAAAGGTGGGTTAATAGAACTAAGTAGTTAAGAGCATATGTAAAAACATGATTATTTTAGAGTAAGAAATTACTATATATGACAATTAATACTTAAAAACATGAAAGATACTGTTATCTTAAAAAAATATGGCATCAAGGAAGAAACATAGTAGAAGATAGCAGTTTCTGCTGATAAATGACAAGAGATTACTATGGTTTACAATTTTAAAAGAAAATCTGTCATATAATTCATAATTTTTTGAATAACATCTTTGTACTTCTTTTAAGGGAGTATCAACGTATGATTTATTAGATGATTGCATCCCATATATAAATTATACATAAGATCCAATAAGTGACTATTTCACTTGGGCTATGATTCTTGCAATTTTAACTATTTCCATATAATAGTTAACTTGATCCTATGAATAAATTTAAGACATTACTAGTTACAAGATGCAAACTCAGTAAGTACATGACCATCTCTGTTATATTGAAGGAAATTTAAACAGTCGCCAAGAAGCAAAAGTTCAGAAACAAGGAAGCGAACGAAAGAGATGTGAAGTTAGTAACTCACTGATCAAAGAGAAGCTGATTGACGAGGAATTGGTGATGAGGCTTCGCCAAGAAGAAGAGGTAAAAACAAAGCGATCGAAGCACAGAAGGCGAGCAGTGAAGAAGATTAAGAGAAGATATATTGGTTTGATTGCATTATGCCTAAAAAATCAGGGCTGACGCGAGTTTACGTTGGCGAGCACCAATCAGAGTTCAAGAAGGCTTTGCGCCGTCCAGGAGCTACCGCGTCATCCAAAGACAGAAAGAATAAGGCTGTCATCAACTTGGTAGATTCAGGTTTTGTCTATGAGTGAATAAGGGCCGCACACCTGTCCATACCCAAGCGATTTGAGGATATTTCTTAGGTCATCAGCCAATGGGAAGCAAAGAAAGATTTGTACGATATCTGCCCATTTGCAGATTTGTAATCATTACCTTGATTTCCTCCACTATAAATAGAGGACTCCCCCTCTAATTTTCGGGATCCTGATAGCAAAAACTATACTTTAATTGTTTTTCTGCTCACTGTTCGCTATATACGACCTGATTGTAGTCTCTCATATATACAAAACAGTGGACGTAGGATTCGCTTTGAGCATCCGAACCACTTTAAAAATCATCTTCCATTTATTTACCACATTAATCATCCACATGTAATTTCTAAGAGCATCTTAGCACTTTACACGTGCCATTCGTTGGTGTCAAAATCAAGCATCAACAGTTTGACGCTAGAGGAAGGGCCTAATTTAGTATCTGCTATTTATCAAGAATCTTTTATCAATCAGTTTTACTTGCGAACAAATGGCTCGTGGTTTTGAAATCGAGTGAACTAGCACTAGCACTGAGGAGATCTCTCGAGGACAGAATGATGCTTCTCCATAAGTAGCCCCAATTTCGCAAAGTACCAAGGCGGATATTCCCTTGAGCTCACAGCTCGACACAGTTGTGATGAGTTACCTGCAGAGGTTCAACAATGCTCTCCAAATGGTTAGCCGAAGGCTAGATCATTTGGATTAGGTCATATCGCCCAATTCCAACAAGGCGGTGCCGGCCCAAGATGCCTATAGGTCCCGCTAAAGCGTAGAAATGGGCGAAAGCCTATGCTGTGTACACTATAGCGCGTAAGAGCAAGGGAAAGCAAGTGGCAGATAATGGGCCAAAGGGCTTAAAGGGACCAGCGAATACCGATCGTGAAACAGGTAGAATACTTATGGCCTTGCGACTTGGTGGTATGTTGCATCATGAACCGTCCCACGCCACATTGCATGGGCACCCCCATAAGAGTGCAAGGTAGGAAGATTCCCATTATCATTGGAAGGATGGTATCGAACATCACTATGAGGGAAATGCCCACCATCCGTGGGTCAGTTCTGACCACCGTAGAGGTCGGGATAACTCCCTTAGCCATTCAATGCCTTCACACGGCTTCAACCAGCGTGTGTCAAGGTATGCCGGAGGTTTCGATCTAGGTGAGGAAGAGTCCGACCTGTGATCTTTCCTCAATCGTAATCGTGAGGGTCGAACCCATGTTGCAGAAAGTGATCCCCAGGTAGCTCCGCTACCTCAGATTGAGGAGTTACAACGAGCTTTGGATCAACTTAGAGCTCAACAAAATGAGTGCAAGCAGGTTGCTAAGGTGTCTCCCTTTTCTCCAGCATTGTTGACTGCTCCTCTCCCATCAAGGTTTAGAATGCCTGATATGCGAGCATTTGATGAGAATTCTGATCCGTAAGATCATCTTTATGAGTTTAACAACCTCATAGAGCTTCACCAA